TATCGTTTTCTTTCTAGTTTCCACATTATCATATAGTTCATTAATCGTTATCGTGTGTTATTGTGTTATATACCATAACTGCGACCTTAACGTATACATCGGGCTAAATACGTAGAACTTGCAGTGTCCATAAGGTGAGCTAGACGTATATCTTTGGTAATATAAYGTGTTGTTTTGTTCGCCTATATAGTGGCTTCAAGACCATTTGGTTGAGAGTGGACTACACTAGTGAAGTTATTTGTGTTATATTATTATAGTTGTATAAATCGTTTTGACTACCATAAGTACTCGAATTAAACTAGTATCTATTGTTTATAAGTTATGACTTGTTATCAGGCCATAGATATATTATAATTATAAGCCTTTGAACGTAAAATTTTTAATATGTATTGGGTACAAACAAATTAAATAGAAATCGCAAAGTGCTATGTTGATTGTTGGGAAATTATATATGAAAAAAAACATAATCTATCTGAATATTTCTTATTTTATTTATGCTTTCACTGCAAGTTATGCCAAAATTTGTAAATCAGTTTCTAAACTATTTAGAAGGGTAGGAGTTAAGAAAAAATAATAATTTTAAAAACCTAGCTCTAGTAAGTATGTTTTCAATTGACTATAGAGATTTGGAGAGCAAAATTATAATTTTATTCGTCTCACTTTCTATATCAAGCGAACCAATTTCTCATATTCCACGCATTTACTTTGGTATACAACTTGATTGCAGTATATTTTACTCTCTATTTCTTGATTTATAATGTATTTACCTTTTTTATTACAATGTATTAAATCGTTGCACAGGATGTAATAAAACGAGTACTCACTACGCGGGTTTATAAGGGCATGCATTATTCTGTACTTTGAATGTTTATACGCATTTATATTAATACGTTTAATAAAAATAATATTTAAATATGAGACAAAAATATATATTTTGTATATTTAATAATTATTTATATACAAAATACATAAAAAAATTACGGATTATGATAATTATTRTTCTATACTTATGTTYACTATTATTAAAGCATTAAGAAACCATAATTATTCCAGTTTTAATACATTAACGGTAAAACATATGCATTTATAACATTATATTGTGGTTGGTCCAGCTGCTTTATAATTTATAATCTAATATATAGACATGGTATATACATATATCATTATTATAATACGACCGAACCTATACCAATATGTTTGGAGTTTTCGCCGTATATATAGGATTATTTTATTTTATGATTTCCATATTTATATACGAGTCAATGATGTTTTACAGCTATATATATATACACACACACACACACTCACGCCTACCTCTATATTTTAAAATGGTTGTGTCGGGAGCACTGCAGGTTTTGACACGCACACTCGCCAAAATCTAGTCTTTTAACCTTGTCCCGTTACCGGAACAGCGTAAGAATTTCGGCTATATTCGCCCTTATATAATATCATTTAAAAACACTGCAGGCGATTCTGAATGCCGTGAGCGAAGCGAATAAAACATTATCGGCATCGCCGATGTCTCGCTGGTGCCTGGTGTATATCCGGAATGGTTGGAGTATTTCCGAATTCACAAACGACATTTGAAAACACGACATAATTTTCAGTCATATAAGACGTTTGCCGTATTTTATTTCGTCTCCGATTTGATTATGACATCAACAACGTATATATACATAKTTACAATTTACGCCAACGGGTACACAATGGTTGATGGTTAGATCAATATGGTTTGTAATAATATATTGGGCTCATTGTGCTCGTTTATAAATATTGTCGCATGGTGTAATTACCTACTATACGTTGTATTATCGTCTTTTGATTATAAGAATAATATAAAAAAAAAAGTTAAACGATTGACCTGAATTTTAGCATAACATTTACCGTCAACAATCCGCTTACGAGTAAGACCGTATAAATTGTATTAATTATACGAATATATGAATGACGTGTTGTATACAAGACACCGTTGTCATCGTTGTCGTTGGATTTACGTGGCCGCCCCGCGTCGCGATTTGTCCGTTATAAAATAACCAAATAATTGATTGACGTAGTAAAACTGCAGCCAACAAAAAAAAAAAAAAAATTGAAAAAAATAGAAATGGGTTTATTGGTCATCGGGTTCAACAACTTTACGGGTTGGTCCGGGCTTAAGTCGCCGTGAAAACGCGCGTGCGATTTTTCACGGGTCGTCTTCGTCGCGATGTTGATGTGGTGTCCCCTTTGGCCGGTCTGGGCGTGCGTCGAAAAACGGTTGTTCAGGCGACTCACAGTGTGGTTTGATGGATTAGAACACGCGCTCTCGTAACGGACAGTTTTTGTCAGGTCTGACACGGGAGAACAAAACAACAAAAATATACAAAACATAATCAACAATATAAAGACGAGTAAAATATTAATAATAATACTCGATGACTGTGTGATGCTGTGTAGGTTGATACAGGGTGATCTCTTTAAAGGTCATTTTCTCGAAAAGTTTTGAAACTCGACATTATTGAAAGAAAATTACATTTTTACTATCCTTGTCGTTTTTAATTTTTTTGCTTTTTTGAATGACAGCATATTACATTGTAATTTCTTATTCTCGATTTCCAAACAGAATATTTTTCTGAGAATTTCAGTATATCAATATAAAAATCACATTTCGAACAAATAGTTAATTAAAGTGTATATAGGTACGCATGTAGAGCACAGTAGTGAATTGATGTATGAAAATTCTTGGTAATATATAGGTATACTCTGTTTCCTAGTATGAGATCAATAATGTATGCTGTCTCATTCAAAAAATTAAAAACTTATTAATTATAACAGTAAAAATAGTAAAAAATATGTTTTTTTAATCTATCAAAAATGTATATTTTAATTTTTCTTCAAAAATGTCGTTTTGGATAATGACCTCAATCGTGTAAAATTAAATATTTCCAACACCGCTTAACCTTTTTAGGAAAACGAGCATCTACCTTTAACAGAATCACCTTGTATATACGGTCATAAACACTGGTAGCCGGTGTACCTACATATACGTAGATCGTGTACGTGATATTACACGAGTTATTGTTTTTGCGCGTCACGTCTCCGTATTATTATATTGTAATATATTTATTATGTGTCGAAATCTGGCTCGGAGGATTGTCGACCGCTTGTCAGCTTGCGTTTGACGCCGTAAAGTATAATAATAATAATTATTATTATGATTGTTATTATTACACTGTAAGCTATAAGCGGAGCATAATATTATTATCTTTGTACGGTATTATGTGTTCTATACGACACACACACGAATATGGCGTGATTGTTTGTATTTTTTTAGAAATATTTTTTTTCGTCATAAACTCAACCATACGCAGTGGTGAGAGGACAATGGATTTGGCGGGTGTACGCTCACGCTCTCTCGAGTAGTTGTATATATGCACGTAAAAAAACGATAATTAATATACTTATCAGCGCGGACAATAATAATTATCATTTTAATTATTCTCGATTTTTTTTTTTACTTTTCAATGGTCGTTCCACAATCTCTGTTTCTAGCCCGAACTCGTAAATGCCCGCGGCATTTCGACTTACAGCGTATAAAGTACGAATATTGATTAATAAATACAATATAATACAATTTTATAATCAATGATAAGCGTTGTACGTATTATGTATAATGTTATGAGTTATGACCATTGACCCAGTCGTGTGACGATTACGTTAAACTATTTTATTTCTCGTTTCATCTGTAGCCTACCAATGTAAACCGAAGTAATAACGCAGAACGGTGCATTTTTTAAATGTATTTTTTAACAAATTAATGTAAAATATATATTATTATGCGATTTAACTTTACTCGTCTGCGTATACGCATATATTTGTCATTAATGTATAAAATATAGTAAATTGGTATCCAACGAGAGAACCTATTCGCGTGTTAGTATTTTGAAGGGATGGACGCGGGTAGGCGAGAGAACGGCTTGCGAGCGTTCACATATTAATTTATTGGCCGATCGACGGCGACGATCGTGTGCGTGCTTCTATTATATATAATATGTACATATGCGATTGTATATATAGAGAAAAATTAACGAGATTGCATGCGATCGGCATACGTAATGCTCAATGAATATATTATTATTATTATTAAACGCGATTTCCAATCCGATACGACGAGACTAAATTAATATAATATTGTATATACGCGTGCGTCTGTACATTATAATAATATAAGAGAGTAGGCTTCAAAGTCGATTTTGTCTGCAAATGAATATACATATTATTGTAATTGCCTGCACAGACGAYAACAACGGTGACTATCTGTGTGTGTGTGTCTTTCTTACTCATCTTTTTCTCTCTTTATTTGACTGTATAATACGTAATATCAATATGTATACACAGTACACACATATATGCGCGTGTGACATAAGGCGTTTGTGCTTATACGCAAATGCGCTAACATTGAATTATGATGACATGTGTATTATTTAAAGTATATAGTGTGTGTCTGACGTCTGTAGTTAAGATTTAGACAAGCTAATATCGACAAACGCCAACAAATATTTCAATAAGCCGCGTGCAATGATAAATACTCAAACTCTATGAATGACGTTTTTGTCTCGCCGAGTACAATGTGCTTGCTTGTGTGTATTGCGATCGAATTAATTTAGACCAGACATAATAATATTATTATCGTTGAAACGGTTTTTACGATTACTTTTTTTTTCGTTCCGTATAGGCGGTGGTGTGAGACTTTCACGCGGCTGCGGCTGAGGGTATCGCGCTCGCGCGTGCCAAGAATAAGTCCTTTGACACGATTAATTATCGGATGAAAAAAGAAATTATATCACTTCTTAATTCTTACTATTACTAATTATTAGTTATTATATTATATTATTATACAGTTGTATTTTATATATTTACATTTACGGCTGTCGTTAAACACTACGAGTTTTATAAAAATATTATATTATTAATTAGAAATCTATTTATTTATTTTTTTTTTTTATTTTTTTTTTTGCAGTGAGAGTACCTGTGCCTCCGGGAAGACCATGGATACCTCTATCTAGACCGAACAAGAATATTCCTTCCTGTGAGTCGCCGTTGTGTGTTATAATAATAAATTATAATTTATTTATCATTATTAATTGTTATAAATTAATGCGTATTGTTAATTTTTATCGACGTTACAGGTCCAGTTACAGTGATGTGTTATAACGTTTTATGCGAAAAATATGCTACTACTCAGATGTACGGATATTGTCCATCTTGGGCCCTTTCCTGGGATTATAGGAAAAAAGTTATTTTAGGCGAAATCCGGCATTATACTGCCGACATTATTACTTTACAGGTACGTGCTTATATATGCTAACTCTGTTAAATTATTGTTTTCTGAGATTAGTTGATTCTTTCTGTACACATATTAAACACGATGCAGATATCGCACAGACAAAAGACACCATGGTTATTTTTTTGTATAATGTAATCTATATTTTACACGAATACCTAATATAATAAATGTATAATGTATAATATTAAATAAGATTAATAATTAGTTAGGGTTGAATAATTTTATTTTCATTTTCAAATTGTTTTCAACTTAACTGACACAGCTACAGTAAGCATTAAAATTTATTTTTCTAATTAATTATCAACTACGTACCTACAATTACTGAGATCTAAAAGTGTACTAAAATTGTTGAGTTTATAGTTTTCATTGAGTATTAATTCACTTATATTGCTATAAATTAGATTTTACTACAATTTATTGGATATCCTAATTTTCGGATAACAGATTAAGATATTATTTACCTAATTATTTGGAAGTGAATTTATATTGTAACCTCTTGATGCTCAAAGTTGAGTAGATTGTAATTTTTTTTAAATGATATATTAGATATATATTAAATAGGTATATTTCTATTTTGWTTGTTCCGAGGCTTATAAAATTAAGTAACAGATTTGTATAATTTAAAATGTTGTCATTTTCATTAAAAAAATAACGCATCGTCACAAAAATCTAAGATGTAAAGATTAGAATAAAGTATACTAAACTTGTATTTTTAAATTAATTAGAAAATTATTCTGAAATGAGTAAAATATATATAATTATGAAAACCTTCATTTTCTTTATGTATATTATAGAATTTACATGTTTCCGAATTTTTAAAGATAATTTTAGTTTTGCTCAATGCAATTTTTTAACTCTTTAACTGGCAGAGTTTTAATTTTATCATTTTTGCATGCACTTTAACTGCCTATGCATGCATATCACGCGTTTATGTTCACTACGAGTTGGTACCTACAATGTATTATGGCTTAAGTGTTGCATAAATACTTGTATTTTATAATCATGATTGTAGCTGATATTTATATGTAGTGTATATAGGTACCTATATAAATAAAAATGTGATAAATTGTATTCAATCCTGTTTGATTAACGTTGCATGTATGCGTGTCCACAATAAATCATTAGTAATTGCGGTATGATTTTTAATTAATCATTTATTTATTTTTTGTCAACTCGCGTCAACTTATACGCACATAGACATAATATACTTCGATGACTTTGAAATGTATAAATAATGTGTTTTATTTGAATTTTCAGGAGGTCGAAACGGATCAATTTTACAATTTCTTTTTGCCGGAGCTTAAGAAAGATGGCTACGACGGCGTATTYTCTCCYAAGTCAAGAGCTAAGACTATGTCCGAAAACGACCGTAAACGAGTTGATGGATGTGCAATATTCTTCCGAGCGATCAAGTTAGTATATCATTATTATTCACTGCTGCGTGTACAATATATACAATATATATTATACGTCTTATATGTTCTGGTTGTGGTCATGACTTGTGTCAAAGCCTTGGGGTACATGGCTCCATTTATAATCATACGCGGTTTTTGACACACATGTATCAGGTTTGATAACTTATACCAATTAAATACATGTTTGCTGTATATATACATCTCCTTCGGATTTCAAATATTGGAAACGAATCCGAGACCACTTTTGATTGGCATACAATCGCGGCGACAATCGCACTATAGGACGAAATATTTCGGGCGATCGGCGTTTCGTCAATTTGTTTTCTTCACGAACTAATTTCATATTTTGCCATATATAGTTATATTAATTTTTTGATTAAACACAACTTTGATTGGATCTGCGTCGAACGTCACTGTATAATAGTTATTATTTGTTATAATAGTACATTGGGAGATAATTATAACAGTTAATATAGTTGCAAAGTTAGTTAATAGATAGTATACACTCATTATTTGAAAAAATATAAATGTATAAAACACCTGTATATTTTTTGTACCATTCGTAAATACTATGCCATTTCCCAGTAGTTGTTTGTATGTTGGGTATATGTATACATTTGTTTGGTTATATATATTATGTGCTTAAAAATATGCATATTCTACAATATTTTTTATTTTTGCATATAATTCTGGATCTCATGTGTACTCGTTGCAATTAATTCGCTATTGGTATATACTTGTTTGAAATTCGATTTGTACATTGTATTAAAATTCTTTGAAATATATTTTCTAGTTAAGATTAAATGTATGTCGCATTCAAAAAAGTAAAATGTTTCAAAAATATTATAACGATGAGAATAGTAAAAATATTWAAAAAAATAAAACAAACTTTTATGCTTAACCATAGATAATGAGTGTAGCTATTATAAATCATCGCTATATGGATTGGTATGATCACTTAGTGTATGTGTGTGCATATTATTCGTAACAATGTTTCGGCAGTTTATAATTTTTAAGAACACGTGGTTTTGCAGGGTTTTAAAAATCACTTATTCTTGCCGTCTTCTACTGCTGGCAGTGGCGTACTTACAATTTTAGGGGCATTGTTATACAGCTATACGAAGACGAGTCTTAACTGTTCGATTTGCCGTCAACGCGTACAATAATGTGTTGTAATTCTTCTGCAGTTGACTACTAAAGAGGTTGGCGTATACGGTCGCTGTATACCTAATTTAGACATAATGTACTTTATAAAATATATACTTATGCTTAGATATTATTAAAATTACTATATATACATGTAAATGTAATATGTATGTATATATTGTATACTAATATTATTTAACCAGTTAATAATTTAAAAGAACATAATATCATCCTGCAAAGTTGAATCTTTTTAAAATCTTTTTGAGTCTTTTATACATATTTATCTGGTAATTCGTTTACATATAGTTTCTATCTTTTGCACTATTAACAATAGTTTATATATATTTTATATTCGATTAAACTCCGTTTTGGGCAGTTAGGTTAAAGTAGTAAACTCGTTATTGTGACTCAGTAAAGGCAATAAATTTAAGTGTTATTTGTATTCAGAAAACTATGTAGGTACTTGTATATAGGTAGATTAATTACGTGTAGACGTATAGTCAACGGTCTTGTGTATACAAGTCGCTATTGGTAATAATAATGTTTTGCACCTCAAGTAATAGGTCTATCTATATATTATTTAATTATTTTTAATCTGTCAATAAATAAAATTACGTTTATTCTTTGTAATGTGTATAACGTAATGTGTGTAAAGTATACACTGATTAATTATATCCGTGTATTTTTTTCTTCTAGATTTACACTAATCAAGGAACATCTGATAGAATTCAATCAACTGGCAATGGCCAATTCGAGTGGTTCGGACGACATGCTCAACCGAGTGATGCCCAGAGACAACATAGGTCTGGCTGCCTTGTTGAAAACCAACGAAACCGCATGGGAAAACTGTAAGTCGACTACGCCAGGTATCCTGGTATAGTTTTTCTGTATGTACCAAAATACACATAAATGTATCTTTTACGTACAGTGTATGTTATAAGTTTATAAGTCTTGTCTGGCTGCAGAGTGCAGATATTGAAACGTATATACGCACACACATACGCGAGTAATATGCATGCACCGCGGTTATATTAAATATGTACCTCCATCATCCGTGTATGGCTGTCGTATACTTTCTGTATTATAACAATATTCAGATACTTTCGTATTAATGAACAATATTTTGATGTACGATTGTAAACGGAATATTTATCATTTTCGCGTTCGTTTCGCGTGCAATGAAGACACGCGCGTAAAATATAGGCCTCGCGGTTGCAATAAACGTTTATCATCGTGTTTCGATTTAACTCGCTGTATTACAAACTCACGCTCGAGCTCACACACACACGTGCATATTGGCATATAGGTATTTCATTGCGCGTATAATATACTCATTTCAAGGATATATAAGTAAAAGATTTCGCGCTACGATAAGTCGATAACGCCCATTATATATATATACGTGCGCATTATTGCCATCACGCACACACACTCATATACCCGTGCATTATAATATCGTATACCTATGTATAATAGTGTATACTGGATAGTATGTATATTAGATATTTATAATCTGCGCGCCCGTTAACTCGAATGTGTTTATTATATATAATAATATATATAGTTTGGAATTATGTAGGATAATGCGCGCGCGACGATGATCAATAGAATCGTTAACTCGTATATATTGTATATATATATATATAAAATGTGTGTGTATATATTATATACCTCCCATATTATAGTAATAATAATAATATAATAGCATTATGATCGGCGCGGAGACGACGTATATAATGATAATAATAAGTGAAAGTCAGTAGGGCCCTGGGGTCGTCATTAGCAATTGAATAGGTTAGGTTGCTCCGGACGATATATTGCTCCGGACGGACACTGAGCTGGAGTGTAGGTATAGGTGTATATTGTAGGTATATACGCTGGCTCGTATTTTGACGTAATTTTTCCAATAATAAGAGCGTATAATATATTATTATAATACGCACTATAGAAAGATTTCGGTTTCAATCGAGCACTCATTAAAATAATACGTAGAAAATGATGTAGGTAGTATAATATATGTTTTTTAATACACGCTACTCAATCGTTTTAATCTTGCATGAATGCAATTTGATTTTAAAAACACCAATAGGTACGTTATAATTTAAAAGACATACCCTCCTACGCGCATATAATATATATACTATATACATTATACATATATACTARCTGAACCCGTGCAATTCATAGCCCGTTAAAAATCCTATCTGTCTTATGTGTTAAATTCGTTTCCTGTGATTTTGCTAGCAGTATACTAATACTCATAGATAGATAACGGTTAAAATATACTAAGTAATAATCTTACAATGATATTCAATTAAGTTTATCATTTTTATACTACGTTTTTACGAAATGCACAGTTAACAATAATTCAGGGATATATATTATAGCAATCATCACTAATAGTAACTGTTTATAATTAAACAAAATGTCTGTTTAAGCACCTCCCGGGGTTGGGCCTATCACTTTTTAACTTAGCCTATCTTCTGCCCATAGGTCTAATATATCTCTGTACCAGCTTTCATCGTAATCTGTCCAGCCGTTTGTAGTAATGCATAAAGACAAACAGACAGAAATCCATTTTTATATATGCGCGTTCGCGTTCCCATCATTAATAAAAAGTATAGTATAATGCTCGCGATCGTCTGATTTTCATCTCGCTGTTGTCATACATGCTGCCACACGTGTCGGATGTAATAGATCTTTTTTTTATACGACAYGAAACGAGTCAAAAAATCTACGTTTTTCTATGCTTGTCCAATATTAATTCACACTCGGCACGACAATAATGTGTTTGTTAAAGATTGAAATTTCCGTTGTTGTCGCTAGTGCAACAGACCAATGGCTTGCATAATTGATTCATTCGTATTGTGCACAATGTATATTATGTTACCACAAAATACATACTCAATGTCCTAATGCGTTATAATCTGTCGCAAGTGTCAATCGGTATACGCGTAAGTAGACCATAATATAGTCGTCTCCGCGGTAGTGGCTGGCGTAAAAAATTAATTTTAATTGTTCAGCGTAAAATCGCAATGATGCAGTAGACAGTAGACATAAAATATCATCATACATTATATGAATGTAATGTGTATAATATAGAACGTATAATTATATAATATCTATATATCATATTATATGTACAGCGATGATCGTCGTCGTGCCAACCTATATGGTTGTTGTTTGGACGAAATAATAAAATTGAGAAAATTATTATTTAATTTCATTCTTAAGTATACGCACAACGACACGCGTGTCTCGAGCGAGATTCTATGTGTATGCATATGTGCGAACTGCGACTTCACTGCAGGCGCTAATTATAGTTTAACTATTAATTACGAGTCATCGTACGTTAAAAATTAAATTATGTAATTTGTTACAATAAGATGAACGTACATGTTATAGTACTTCTTTAGAAGTGTCTCGGTGATCATTTATTATTTATACCTGGGCGTGACTCTCCATCATCCTATATAGTCATATACAATATACATTTCAGCCTTGGCCGTGGAGATAAAATACCTGTCCTGGGGAAAGAGGCACCATAAGGGATCCCTAATTTTGGACTGTGGAGTTAACTGGATTACCTAATACCTAGTAATTTAGAGACCGGTATATAGTTGTACAGGAGTTAGTGTGAGAACAACTAAGATCATAGCGGGACAATAAATGATGTGTATTGGTTTTTACAATTTTTGCAATTGTACGTGTATTCAATGTTATATCTGTCATTAGTAATAACCTTTGAAGATGTAAAAATGTTTCAATCTTCGGCCTTAAAGGTGGTTTTTAGTGGCGAATTGTATCTAGTTGGTAATTGTGTCCTCCCCGGGAGTACAAGAGTAAAAACTTCCCTATCGCCTTCATTTACTATTGGTATTAGCACCAAATATTTATAATTTAAAAACTTTCAAAACATAATAGAGTAATATGGCATGATAACATATTTTGCGATAGATATAGCCGTCTGCTGCCATTTTGTGACGTAGGTATTATGTTGTTCTATGGAGTAGTCATAATACACGGTATATAAATAAAAAAACATTTTACCGACCAATCAGAAGATGCACGATTTGTATGTGCAATCTATCGAATACGGTAAAAATTTAATCTACCACGTTTCTTAATTATAGTCAACGTTGCACTTTATTATTATTTTACGTGCTTATTTTATTGTCAAGAAATTCAATTTGTATGCTAAATGTATATTAATAATAATCAACATCAGAAATTTTCCTCGACCAATAAGGACTTAAATAATAATTTTATTGATTTCTCCTTTTTAATGTATATTAGGATTGATCCAAAAATCCAGTCAGACTGTTTGAAAAATCTGGGCTTTGCCGCCGGGTTCCTCCCCGATTTTATTCCTGACCACCCCTGTCGTTGTAAAGAATTCAAGCCTTTCGCTATCCCTTCTTAAACCCAACACCGCAGTATGCCAGTATATTAATACCAATACCATTGTTATTATATAGTATATACCATGGTTATGATGTCGCGACGGGAATTGGAATTCGTCGCGCATGTGAATGCCAACGCGCGTTTTTGCGTTTCCCGAACACGCGATGAGATGTATTATTCGCTCGTTATAAATCATAACACCTTTCGTCGTGTGCGATTTATAATGTTGTCGACGTCGTCGGTATACATAATACATAATATACGTTTATTATATATTATTGGTATGCACGTTTGGTGGTTTCTAATTGGCTTTAAAATGCCTTTCGAACAGTCAGTGATTTGTGCCTCGCGTATATCGTTTATATTACTATGTATAAAATATAATATAAGTGTAATAATAATAATATGTACTTATTCTATGATATTATGGTAAATTTGTTTTGCGCTCCGACGTTTTGATATTCGCTATACTAAATAATAATTATTAAATATGATTAAAGGTCGTCGGCGCTCTCTATAAGTCCTAACTTACCCCGCTGTAAGCGTATGTGTCACGTGTGTATTAT